TATTTTCCCTGTTCTCACTTAACTGACTCCCAGTTACAGCTTTCTGGCAAAATGAAGCTGGGTTTTTGGATGTTTTCTTCTATATCTTGTCATCAAGACACTGGTGTGTAGCGTTCAACAGATTTGCTTTCCCTCTGGGTTATGTTTCCTTTGTTGTCTGAACCACCTCACAAAAAATGCAAGAGAAGCTCTCCTCCATCTCGTGCTCAAACCCCCTCACTCCTGACTCCTCCACAAGTGGAGCTGTAACTTTGATCTCAAAAGGACAGACAACTTTTATTAGTTTCCCTCTTTTTCCATCAATGACTCTTGCCTCCACAATGGTGGCTGCAGCCCCCTGTGCATTCTGCTCTGGAGAGCTTTGTTCTCTCCTTGCCCTGCCCCAAAGCCACAGCTGGAGCAGAAGGCAGGCTGTGTGCTGTACATCCAAAGGGACATTTTCCTCCTCTTAAAGTCTTAAAGTGGTCTTTCCTCCTCAAACAGATTTGGATCTGTTTTCCTTTTTGTGATCCTGGAGGAAGGACAAACAGAAATATTTTTTATGTGGCCTAATCTTTCTATCTACAGCTTTTTTTTGTGTTTGTCTTTGCCAATAAATTTTGATGCTTCTAAGAAACAAGAAAAGGAAAGGCTCTGCCTTTTGCAGCAGCTGCTGCTTGCTGCTTTCCCCAGGAAGGAGCTGAGGAGTTGTTGTCAAGCAAAGAGGAATTTCTTTGGGGCAGCCCAATAGCTGAAGACCAGATTTTTCAGGATTAACTCCAGTCAAAGTGCCATCACTGAGGATACATCTGGAAAAGGTCACAAAACAGAAGATCTGTCTCTATTTGTTCCCTCCTATGGCCAGGATCCAGCGTTCTCTGGATATTACTGTACCCAGTCTTATAGGAAAGATGAACTTCCCTGTTCTCCCATACTCCTTCTCCTGGTACATGCTTTGCTCCTGACTGCTGCTCATTCCTTTGGCAATAGCAAACCCTGTTGCTCTTTGTTTTATGCATTAGGAAAAGCCCTGGTGGCACTCCTGGATGATCAATAAATGAGTCACAGCCTGTGGCATTTCATTCTTTACAGCTGTACCCCAAGCAGGTTTGAGTGATACAGCTGTGGTTCTGTGGTGGAAGGTAAAGCTCTTAATTAATAAATTGATTGTCCCAGAGGGATGGGGATGGGGGTGGAAGTTTTTCACTGCCACCAGCTCCTCTGTTACTGCCAAACTTTAATTGGTGAGGAAAGTCATGAGGTCTCACCACTGCCCCAGGGATGGTGCATTTACCAAATGAGGTAGGTGCATATCCCAAGGAACACAGACAGGATAAAGACTTTATTCCCTTCCTCCAGGGGAATACAACTGGTTTCCCAGACAATGATTTTTTGCTTTTCCACTTTCTCCTTCTCTAGGGATCACTTTTCCACTTAAGGGGATTACCATTGTTAACTTTAATTATTTTAATATGATTTTCTCAGTATTTACAATTCTGGATTAAAGATATCAGTTGCAGGTATAGTTATGTGTATCTGTAAGTATTTTATAGTTTCTACTTTTCACCTCTTCTCAAGCTTCAAGGAGAAGATTTATATAATTCTATATTTCAAATCATGTATTGTTTGTGTTGTTGGAGTTGACAGCATGTTTATGTCCTCTAATTGGACTTTAGAAGACAGCTCTCACATAGAAAGTATGTTGGGTTTCAAGGAATTATCTTCTCTTTATGTACCTTTTCTTTTGTTCTGTGATGTAGTGTATGTTGGGATTTTTCTACTTGAAGTTTATTATTTTTCCATTGCCTTCCTTTGTAAAGTGTTGAAAGAAAATCTTACAGTTAGAGTGCTTCATACAGCTCTAATATGTCAAATAGGTGATTTTTATTTTTGACTCCCTTTTAAAATTAAATAGTATTTTCTGCTTTTTAGGATTTGATCTGTAACATGATGAATCATTGAAAAATTGTAGTTAGATTTTTTTTCTGGTGGGGACACAGAAAAGTGAATACAGCAGTTTGTTATTGGAATGCAAGAAGTTCACAAATTATTCTAAAATCCAAATGTGAGTAGGTGGATGAATACATAAACTCCTAGCAATTATTGTGTGTTTCAGGCTGCATGGTGGGACTTGTATTATTTATATTCTGTCACTGATCTATTACCTACTAACTGTGATGAACCATCAGCTCCAGATTAAGTTTTGAGTCAGTGTGCTTTTCCCTGCATGATCATTTTGGTTTCAAAATAACCTTCATTCTCCTCCTGCTGCTCCTGATGGGGCTAATGAGCAAAGCTTGTCTAAAATACCCCAAAGGCAGTTAAAACCTCAGAATTTAATTGCTGGTTAGAAAAAACCTTTATTGAAAACATTTCTATTCCAAGCCCTGAATAGTCATTTAAAATCACTCAAGTGATGTTTCCTTAGCTCCTTCAGGATAAATATTTTGTAGTGGGCTGTTGATTGGGTCGCTAAATGTCTTTGGGGTTTGCTCAGGTCTTCTTTGCTCATGAGTAACCAAATTTATGTCTGAATAATTCTTTGCTCATTTTCAAACACTGAAACTTCATTAGAGAAAGTAGGACTGAGTGGGGAAGTTCTGGGGATGTGGGGACGTGCCTGGGTTTTGACTGGGCCATGAGCAGATCTCATGAAATGTTTACCCCAGTAGTTACCTTGTGCTCAAGACAGGATGTGTTCTCCTTATTTCCTTCAATAGCAGGAGCAGTTTGGCTGTTTTGGCACTGCTCAAGGACATCTTTTTTTCTCCTTCCCATAACTAAATGTGCTGGTTTGAGAGTAAACCAGCAGAAGAAATGGACCCCACACAAATACCTTGAGAGAGATTTCAGGTCAGCATTGCAATATAATAGAATTACAATAAATGCAGTGATAGAGAAGAGCTGGTTTAAACCCATGAAGTCAGAGTACAGCCTGGCACCCTCCTGAGGGTGAGGGTGGTGGTCACAGTCTGATGAAGCAGTGTTTGCACTCCTGGGGAAGCGATGGTTGCAGGCTTGTTGAAAGCAGTGATCCTGTGGAAGTTGGGCTTCTCCTCTGGATCTGTCCAATGGCTGTGGCTGTTCCAAGTCCCCAGGGCACCCAGATTATACGTGGTCAGATTCAGGCAGGAAGGTTCAGTATCTCCCCCAGGGCAGGGAATTTCACAATGGGATGATGTATTTCTATGAGTCACAGGATATTCTGGGGTCTCCCTGGTGGCCTAGGTGCTTACAGCTGCCCTCTGGGGCCATTGAGCCATTGTGGGCCATTGGCAGAGCCCCTTGGGCTGGGGGTAGCTACCAGAGCTGAATCCCTTTGTGAGGATAAAGAAATGCTGTCCAGCCCAGGCTTTGCCTCTTTCCCATATCTGACACCCTGCCTGCAGCTGTGTGTGCCCTGGGCAGCTGCTGGAAACCAGCACCATTGAGAGTTCATCAGGAATAATAATAATAATAATAATAATAATAATAATAATAATAAATAATGCAGTGGGGTAGAAGCCATTGTCTGGTTACACCCCTCGCTGTAACCCAGCACACTGAACTACAGATTAAGTGCAGAGAGTGGAAATAGAAGACAACCCACTGGAGGGTTTGGTAACTGCTCCCAGAAAATCCTGTGCAGTGGCCACAGGCACAAGACCTGCTGTGTGGCTTTTGTGCAGCACTGGGGAGCTCCTGGCTGCCAGGACTGGGGGCTCCTGAGCAGGGAGTCCCTGGTGGCACTTCCACTGCCTGGCACCAGTGTCCAGCCTCCCACAGGTTTCAGCAGGCTGAGGAGAGCAGGCTGCAGGGGCCTCACTGGTGAGGGTGAGTGTACACCCCCTTCCACCCTTCCCATCAGCTGTGCTGGCAAAGCAGAGTTGAGGGCTGCTGGTGGGAGGATGATGATGGTCTGGTGACTGAAATGAAGAAGAAGCTGCCAATCCCTCACTCCAGTCATCCCTTCTGCCTGATATGAGCCTCCCACAAGAGTGGTGCACACAGGGTTTACCCTGCTCCTGCCCAAGCACGAGCCTCAAACAACGCTATAAATTCTGCATCTTCCAATTCTCAGGGAAAACATTTTCTTGTTGTGCTCTCAGTAACTGCGACACAGAAAGAGTTTTACTTTGATTTTAAGAGGAAGAAAGTTACTGGGTGTTCAGCCTAGAGAAGAAAAGGACAGGGAGACTCCAGTGTGGCATTCCAGTATCTTAAGTGGGCTTATGGATAGGAGGGGCAGGAACTTTTTAATATGGGGACAGAGCAACAGGAAAAAGGGCAATGATTTTAAAATGGAAAAATGCAGGATTAGAGCAGATTTTAGGAAGAAATTTAGGAAGAAATTCTTCACGGTGAGGGTGGTGAGGTACTGGCACAGGCTGCCCAGAGAAGCTGTGGATGCCCCTGGATCCCTGGAAGTGTCCAAGGCCAGGCTGGATGGGGCTCTGAGCAGCCTGGGATAGTGCGTGGCACCCCTGCCAGGACAGGGGGCTGGAAGTGGATGACCTTTAAGGCCCCTTCCAACCTAAACCATTCTATGATTCCATGACTTTGAATTCTACAAGATACATCAAAGATTTCCTGACAATTCGTAAGTTCCTTTCCCTCAGCACTAAAACATTGATGCATCTTTTGTATGGAATGAAGCTGGAGTTTAAAGCAAAGGCATCTATTTGTTGGTATCTGCTAATGCATCTTTATTTGAAATTTGATTTTGCAACTAAATTAAACTATCAATGTCATTTGATAGCTTAAGAACCTCATTTTAAAAAACCTATAAAGGAATAGTTTATTATTATTTTATTTATAAATTAATAATGGTTTAACATAAATATTTGTAGATAAAAAGATGTCTAGTCATTATTTCTGTTGTATTTCATCATGTGCTTTTCCCATCTGAAAGCTGAAGGACAGGAAAGGATTTTAGTTTTGCCTGACAGTGCATTTTTAATTTAAGGACAGGCAAATGGAAAAAAAAAAATTATATATATATATATATACCCAGGACAAAGTGCTGGATGTAACAGCTCTGATCCAGGGAAATATCTTTATTCAGAAAAGAATTTTAACTGTATTTTAGCATTATCAGTTTCAGTGAGAAAGAAGTAGGTGTATGTTTCCAGAATAAAAAAATCAGCTTTGAACAATTTCCGTGCTTCATCCTTCTCCCCAGGAGGGATGGGAGGTCTGAGTTCCTTGATGAATGGGAACAATGAATATGCAGATCCTGTGCAGCGGCCTCTTAAGTCCTTTCAGGAGACCTGGTAAAAATAGACAGATCAAATAGAAGTAGGGGAAATTTTGGTGTGTATCTCACATCACTGGCACTTTGAAATACAGAGTGCCTGAAGCAAAGTGAAACCAGTAAATGTAAGGACAGGATGGCAAAACTGGAGTAAGAATCTTTCAGAGGAAAAAAAAAGTTTGAAAAAGTAATAAATGTTTCATTGCCTTAAATTCTGAAAGTTTAATCAATCATGGGAAAGCTACCAAGAATTTCTGTATCTCAGTATTGATTTTTATGCTATATTTATCCTTTGAAAGGCACAAGCAGGTCATTACTGAATCAGATACAAGAGCCCTGAAAAGCTGAGGACTTTTATCACCCTCAAAAGCTACATATTTGTCACTTAAGATCACAGTAAGCATTTATTTTTGGAAAACCATTAGTTCCTCATGGTATGTAAGGGAGAACAGTCCCAGCTGTCAGACAACAAGCCTGATGTTTCTGTTGCTGTTTGTGAGGGTTCATACATCATCATTTATATTTCAAAAGAAGATTATTTTTCTAGCCTAACAAATAATTTATTAATTTACTTTGGCTTTTCAGTTAATCATTACCCAGCATTGCACCATTAGCAGGTTTGTGACTCTCTTTATTACATTTTTATGTAAAACCCATGGCATTTACATGTGGGTTGTATAAATAAACTCTGGACTAACCAGAGGCTCTGTAGAAGAAAACAGATACCATTCCAATGGCTAAGAATTTCCCTCTCCCCTGAGGAGAATTGACAAGCTCTGCATTTGTGTGAGGGTTCTCAGGGCTTGGACTGTTCACTCCTGGGCTTCCCACACGGATCCTCCTGCCAAAGTCAATGTGCAGCCCTGTCATAGCAGCAGTAGCCAAAATGCCCCTTGTGCAATGTTTATTTTACAACTTCTCTATATTAGCTTGCCAGTCGGCCTTCTGTTTAATTACAGTTTAAATTTAAATGCTTTTTAAAAAACCAAACAGCTCTATCCCTTTTCACTATCTCATTTCAGTGTCCTCTCTGCTTTCTGAGTACTTTTTCTTAGCCCTTTGTTTCCTTCTATTGCTCCATGGGGAAGACAGTATTTTCTTTGAATATTAAACATACAGTAGGATATAAAGGAGAAGGAAATCTCCAAGTTAAGCCTTGTATCTCGTTTTGCTTTACAACTTCATTTTGATTTTTCCTCTAATAGCCTACCAAGATTATGATGAACTGCTCCAGATAATCCTTTTCCCTCCACAGAGATGCAATGATTGTGTTGGGGTAAAAACCAGGAATTGTTTAGGGAATGATGAATGAACACCATGACAGTTCATAATTTCCTAGAGAAGCTGACTGTGAATAAGGGGAACGTGCTATGGGGGGCTGAGCAGCTCCACAGTGGGTCAGACCCCTAACTCTGTACCTGCTGAGGCACCAGCAAACAGCTCCACCTGCATAAAGCAAGACTAAACTGCCTAAATTAATTCTGTGTTATTCTGGGGGGTGGGGAAGACCCCCAAAAAATAAAAGAAATAAACCCACTGCCCCCATTGGTTCTTTTTTGCAAGTAAAAGATGATTGGGATGTTAAAGATAGCATGGTGTCTATAATTTATTCAGTTGTTTTTACTTCAGGTTTTGGTGCCCCAGTTAATAGAAATGGTATTCAGGCTTTCTTTGAAAAAAATAATTTCAAACTTTCCCTGCAGATAGGGATTTTTTGACAAGGGCTTTGTGATCAGTGTCTGATTTAATAACTCTGTGAGCTGCAGTAAAAGAGAGTTACAGTGAACCTGAAACTCAGCCCCAGCATCTTTTATATTCTTCCAGTGTCTAATGTCTGTAATTTACATAAACTCTGCTCTGAAGATTTATTTCTCTTTGTGAAAAAAATTGCTTCTTTTGCTCTTTTAATCAGACAACTGCTGCATCTTGTATTATCGACAGGTTGCCAGACAAAGTGGAGATTTAAGTTGTACAGTTTAATTTCTTCTCAGTTTTGAAAGATGTGGTTCTGTTGATTTTTTCCTAAAGATTATAAGTCTTCAGGCAGAGAGCTTTAAACAGTAATTATTCCTGTCAGAATGAAAGGTGGAATAAATGGACTTGTAGGTATTTCCTATTTACACCGATGATATTCAGCCTTGCTCTAAATGTCTTCTCATTATGTTTACAAGATAAAGGAACCTCCGTGTTTTAGCACCAAATTTTGCTGCCTTTCTTAATGTACACAGTCCAGGCTGTCAAAACAAGTAACAAATAGAATGAAAAGCAATCAATGAAGCCTGTAGAAGACATGGACAAAAATTAGATTTCTTATTGAAAAGAGAACTGAGCACACGAACCAAAGAGACTTTTTCCATTAATACTCTTCCCTGAATTTCCACTATTGCAAAGGTGCTTTAGTGCTGAAAATCAGAACTTACATTAATATTAGAGCTGATTTATTCCATATTTTCCTGTTAAATAAAACTGGCTTGTATAAATAAATAGACCTGCGTGTTCCAGGCTAATACCTTTTTACTCTGTGTTGTAATCTCTGTAAGTGCTGCAGTTCAGGGATTCCAGGAATGCACACAAAACACTGACTGCTGGACACTGTGCTCACTGCATTCTCATAAATATTCCTGTAAAGCATGTTAGGAATTGTCACATATCCAAATCAGCACTGGGTAGCTCTTAGCAAATGTTTTGCTTGTGTTCTAAGTTGTTTCAGCCATGACTATTTAAATTCAGATATCTTCAGGTAACACAAAATACTATTAAAACCTGTGAGGTTGTTGTTTTTTTTACCCCAAGGCTCTAATCTGGGGCAGTAATACAGCAGGCATGCCTGTGACAAACTGGATTCTTGCAGAAGTTTTGGAGGGAGGCAGATTTTTTATTTCCCTTTGTAGCTTGGTTTTCAAACCTTCTCCTTGTACCTTACCCTAAGAATTTTAATGAAATCAATTTTGTGCAGGAGGCTCTGTTCCAGTGTGAAAAATGTCACTGCAGGCTTGGTACTGAGAACATGATTTCTCGTGAGCATAAACTCCTGTGCCAATAAAGTAATAGTTCATTTGGGGCTACTCTACACAGGCTCAGTCCCAGCAATTTCACAGCTGTTTTCGAGTTGATGCATATCCAATGTGGGGGATAACTCAATTTGAATGGACTGAAGGCAAACACCTTTTACCCTGCTCATCTCTTTCCATTTACCTCTTTTAATGTAATGAAAAATGGTAGTGACCATCTAGGCATATTTTATCTGTCTATAGAGGGGGTTGTATATTCTTTTTCCTCAGTACATTAATAATGATAATTTGTTTGTTTCTAGTTTTGATGTAGCAATGGCTGTTCTTTATTTTCAAGGCTTGTATTGTGCATACTGAATGTATTATGTATACTGAACCTTTTCTTTAATCAGTTAACATATGTAAATCATAAGGAACAGTACTTGGATGATCCTTGTGGGTCCCATCCAACTCAGGACATTCTATAATTCTGTAATTCTGCAAAGTAGTTAATTCACATTGGTTTTTGTTTAAGTGGATTTTCCTAAAACCACCTAGAAGTTGATGTAGGTGTTTTTAACCATGAACTATGACTTGTTCACATGGATTTCCTTCAGCAGCTGTCTGATAGCTTGTGCTGAGATGAAGATTGTACAATTTGAATTTTGCTGTCCAGGACTGCTCAGGAAGGCAGGGATGGTGTTTTCTGGCCCGGTGCCTGATGCCATGGCTGGGGTCACACTGGGGGTGTGACAGGTTTGGGTTCAGCTCATGGTGGGTGACACTGGGCCAGTGCAGTGTTTGCTCCTGTGTTTCACCAGCAACACTCTGCTGCTGGCAGAGGATGTTGTGGGAATGTTGTTGGCTTCAATGCTGTCCTCTTGAAGGTCAGCTTAACTGCTCAAAAATAGCTGCCTTCCCTTGTTTTGTAAGGAAAGTAACTATTTCATTATCCCAGCTTGGGATTAATGGAACTCTTTGATGAGTCTGGTTGGGAGAGAGAGAAAGAAAAGCTTTCCAGGCATTCCTTTGGTTTATGGCTTAGAGACATATTGCTTTATAGCAAGAGCCACAGCAGCACCACCATGACCTCCAGAGAAGGGTGCTGAGCATGTTTGTACTTGGTAATTTTACTGCATCCAGCAAAGGACTGATGATAGCAGCAGGTTTGCTCAGCACAGGGTCTGTGGCATGTGGATCTTCATGAAACTCAGTAAAAGTGACCCCTCAGCCCCTAGAAAGACAAGACATCTCCCTGAGAGCCTCATACCTACAGATACAATGCCTGTCTCTGAATCTACATTTATTCCATACAATGACACGATCAAGGTGAACTTTGTCATATGCCAGAAATTTACCCTTGTGATGGGTAAATGTGTGGTTTTGCCAGGATTTGGAATGGAAAGCCTTGGCTGAGTGGCAGCCTTGGTGTTACAAGCAGATACTGGTAACTGCTTTACCAGTGGCTGGGAGTGGCTCATATATTAATGCCCACTGCAGTCTCAGATGCTGAGAACACAAACACTACACTCACTATAAGCACCAGAAGTCAGTTCCCAGAAGGCAAAATGTTGGTTTCTCTGCAGTTAGAACTGAACAAGGAGTGCAGTTGCGGTATCCTCCTTTACCTGACTTTCAGGCTGTTACATGAAAATCGCAATGATCAGGTTTCTCTAGGCACTCACATCACCCCTTGCCAATTTTTCCAAGCCATTCTGGCTTACCTGGATGTAGGATCAAGTGCTTGGACACAAGTACTGCTGTGTAGAAGCGCTGATTTGTTTTAGACACTCTCAGAAGCTTAGGGATGCTACAGAGCACATTGTATAAATTCATCTCTGGGGCTTCAATTCCTTTAAATTTCTTTGTCCAGGTAAATCTCTGGACTCTCACAAGCCCTTTGCAATACAATAAATCTTTTCCTGATAGTTACTTAGGTCCTGCAGCTCACTGTGGACACTGACACGTCAATGGAAATGGTTCAAAACTGCCCGAGGGGAGATTTAGACTGGATATTAGGAAGCATTTCCTTACTTTTGGGGTGGTCAAAACCTGGAGCAGGTTTCCAGGAGAGGTGGTGGATGCCCCAGGGCTGACTGTCAGTGTTTCCCAGGCGTTTGGACAATGCCCAAAACTATGTACTTACACCTGGTCAGCTCTGCCGTGGTCAATTCAGTGCATGCAAGCGATCAGCCCCTCTGGGACCAGCTCCAAACTAGCAGTAAACTGGATTATTTTATGTTTGTGTACACAAACATCTACACTTCCAAACATCCTGCTAGCAGGGCAGGTAAAGGTAAAACTATCAATATCTTTTTATCAGATGAAAATAAAAACAAAACAGGTATGAGTACCCATTTTGTGGTTCATGTTGTGCATCACACCAATGTAAATTGAGACTAATTGATGTTGGTTTTGTTTTCAAAATCTGTCAGGGATGATAAAACCGATGGATGCAGAGCAGGTTCTAACTGCTCCCATGCCCACAGAGCTGGAGATCTTGCCTCCTACTCCTTCCATTTCTCCTCCTGGGAGGAACAGGGCACTGTTTCAGTGTTCAAGTGATACTGTTGTTCTTTGTAGGGAATGTCTGAAACTTTAGAAAAGGGCTTTGGGATTAACCTGTCAGAAATCCTGAACTACTGCAGTGTGGGAATAAATGTGACCTGAGGACTAAGAAGTTTGTCTTGAAGAAATATTAGATTTTACCAGCATCTTCTGTCAAAGCTGATGAACAAAACTAAGTCATATAGACTTAGTGCACCTTTCAGAATTAGTGCAGCACCTCTGGCAGCCTTACCTTAAAAAAAAAATTTAAAAATCAGGAAAAAGAAAAAAACCAAGGTTTTCAGTCAAGGTGTGATATTTAGAGCTTTAATCTAGATTATACCTCTCCCTACAGCACATGAAGGGGCCTAATCTGCTGCAGACTTTTCATTCCTAATATTTGAAATGGTGGCAAACTGAACATACTCCTTGGTAGAATTTTTATACTGTGGCATTCCTGAGAATCATCCCTGAGCTAATGAACTGCATTAGGAAAGAAAAGAGGAAATCAGAGAGAAAAATTGGCTGTTTGTTATCTATTTATTACAAAATATTGAAAGTATCATTTATATTTTATCTGACCCTTTTTCTTGTCTTTTGGGAAGAGGGCAATAAGGGCAGACTTGGTGAGCAAGTGCCCCCAGGACGTCTGCAGATGACACCAAGATGAATGATGCAGGTGACAAACCTGAAGGATGGGAGGGCATCCAGAAAGACACGGAGAAGCTTGAGCAATGGGACCAGGGGAATTTCATGCAGTTTAACAAGACCAAGTGCTGGTGCTGAACCCTGGCCTGGGCAGCAGCACAGACTGGGAGAAGAGCTCACTGAGAGCAGTGCTGCAGAGAAGGACTTGGGGGTGCTGCTGGCTGAGGGGCTGGCCTTGACCTAGTGCCCAGAAAACAAGTGGTGCCCTGGGCTGCATCAAAGAGGAGTGGCCAGCAGGTCCAGGGAACTGGCTGTCTCCCTCTACTGCACTTTCATAAGACTCACCTGGAAAAATAACCACTACCAGCAGAAGTTAATCCCAATGTCTTGAACACAGGTACCAACACATCTCCCTCTTGATGTTCCTCACTATTACTTTACTCCTCTCACACCTGAATAATGAATATTATAAATAAAAATGGCAACTGGCTATAGTTCTTCCCAAATTCTGTCACTAAACTCTTAAATCTGTGCAGTTTCAAAAGGAGTAACTCAGATTGGCTGCCCCAAAATCAGAGAGAGAGAAGCAGAGAGGCTCTGGGAAGCAACCAAGATCACGAGAGGAGCCTATGTTTGAGGATGCTGGGATTTCCGAATCCTAGTGGCACAAGTGTTGACCTCTTCCCGTAAGAAAGTGGCATGGCAGTAAATGACACACATCCAGGTCACACACGTGTGTGTCTGTCACAGGGGAGTGACCTGCAGGAGCCCAGAAAGGCCTTTGACTGCAGCTGGCAAAGGCAGGTAGAAAAATGTGATAGCTGATAAATAACATGACCTTATAACAACCTGAACATCTACAGAAGCTAGAAAAACCCAGACAAGACAAAATTAATATCTGTGAGACAGTAAGTTATTCCTCTGGATATGAAGGATGGCCTTAATTTGTCAGGACAGAAAATTTCCTTCAAAACAGTTTCTTATCTAGAACAAATTTGATGCCAGTAGAATTTGTGAGTTGGAAAATGAGCAAAGTGGTTTATCTTTCACTTCCAGTTTTAAGGAACAGCTTTGAAAACTACTGGGAAACATTCACACACTGCATTTATTGCTGCAATAAATGCGCTTTCATTTTTGAAGCTGAGCATCACCATGTGGGAATTCCACGCACTTGGTGGTTTTTATAGCTCATGAAAACATCTGCATTTCCCTTCTTGGTGTAGAGATGATTTGAGTCTCACCCAGAATACTGAAATAGTGTAGCTGTATTTAGTGTAACACCCTGCTATTGCTGTGTTGCCGTGGGTATGATCCTCACACCGGCTCCTGCACAGCTGGGAGCGCACAAACACATCCAGCGAGGATGCCCCGGCAGCGGGGCTGACACGGAGTCTCTCGGGGAGCAGCCCAGCCTCTCCCTTTCCCCTGCTGCTGGCACCTCTACTTGTGTGCACTTGGCTTCTCCTCCAAAGCCTTTCTGGCCTCCTGGACCATGCTATGGTGTCCACCCTCCCTGATCTAGGAGTACAGCTTGGATCCCCAAAATCTCCTTTTCCATAGCCCCAGTAGTGTGGAGATCCTGTCAATGCAGTAAGACAATCCCAGTTCATTCCCAGTGAGGGAGAGTTTATTTGGAGAGGGCACCAGGCCACAGGAGTCCTTAGAGATGGAAGACCCAGGTGCCTGGAGTGAGTCTCAGCGTAACCATTGACCCACATAACAAATCAGAAATGCTAGGGCTTTGCACCTCAGCCTCTGAAGTGAAGAGGAAAAATCCAAAATTAGGAATTAACTAGCACCAAGCAAGAAATCAATACAGTTAACTCATTCTTTTCTAGTATTCAATTCAGAGAGAACCTGAAGTTCTACATGAACAGTGGCCCTTGCACTGGGATACAAATTGCATCAGCTCCCATTGCAGATAACCATCCCAGAATGTCTCAATAATGGTTATTTTTCATTACATATCCTGCCTGCACACAGCTGTTCAACACTCAAAAGTTGACTTTAAATGTTCATAGTTCAGCTACTCAGATTTTTCACTTCTAAGAGTCTACTCCATTTACGGAAGTGCTGCTGGAGAGAAGGTGATGCTCACCAGATGAACATTCATACCAAGAACTGTGTTAATTTAGAAAAATTTTGCTATCCATCAGATAACCTTGGTAAAGGAGCCATCAGATACATGGGGAGTCTCCTTGGCCAAAGTAGGATATATTTTATCTTAGATTTGTATTGAAAGGCAACTGAGCAACTGGGAAAATATGACAGAACATTTAAAGGGCACACGGTATCTTGTCTGGCAAGTTTAATAGTGCTGTAGTGAAAAATAAAAAGGATTTTGCTATCACTCGAATCATGGACCTCAGTTTTAACACTGATACACAAAGTGCTAGATTAATGTTGTGCATGCAAATCACTAATCACATAATTGATTAAATAAAAAGCTAAGTTCAACATACATTTTAAAAAATCTATTTAAAATATCTCACTTCAGTGTATACAACACAAGGCATGTAAGTTTTGCTGGCAGCTGCTGTTTCACTGGAGGTAACAATTCTTACTACTAGCATTGGCTTGGCTTTCTTAAAAGGGCACCAGGATCACGGCAGCCTGTCTGCTGCTCAGTTTGAAATTGAAAAGAACACTAAAGCCTGCACTAAGTTTCAAAATTATGTGTTCTTTTCCTAAGATTTGCTTTATTGATTCATATTTATCCAGTTCTCCCTGTGTGATACAACACTGACCTGAGCAGTATCAGTGCTGTGAGGAAGGGTGTGAATGTACACACAGCTTGTTACCTACATGCTGCAGCCTTGAAATTTTCATGGGTTGAAGGATGATCATCAGGGAAAGCTTCATGCTCGTACATTATTGGTAAAAAAAAGCAAAAATATAAAAGAATGTCTTTTTGGCTTATGAACAATCACTTTTGAGACAAATGGGGGTTGGGGGAAATGTAAAATCAGTTACCTGGAACAGCAACCAAGCCATGAGGCTTCAGGATCCACGGTGGTGAAAGTCACCCAAGGTTCTCCACCACAGCTCTCACCATAAAGCAAAGCAAGGCATATAAAGAAAATTAATTAGAGGGAAGGGTTCACAAGCTCTCATGGAGCTCAAGTCCTTCTCTGGAAAGTTTTCTCAGACCCTGCTTACTCCCATCACCTCCTGGAAAGTGTGTTTGACTGTCACTCTGCCCATCCTTGGGGGGTCAGAGGGCTGCTCCACATGGATCTGACTGCAGGCAGTCACAGCAGGCACTCTTTGGCACACAGGGTATTGCCAAAATCAACTGTCTTGCAAAATCGTTAGATTTAACTGACTGGCTCAGAAGTAGAGAGTAATACTTTCAGGTGAAAGGAAATATAATCCCCCAATCCTGAAATGTGTAAGACTGGTTCAGGATACTTTAGAACAATTCAGCAGAGAGCCACTGAGAATTTGGGATGAATATCTGAGCTGTGACTATTCAGTCACTGCAACCAACACCAGAATTTGGCACCAATTGTACAAGACACTGTTGAGCTGCACCAGTCTAGAATTAGAATATGACATTCAAACATATGAAAACCTTCCTCACCTACCACCTTTTTTCCTGAAGTATTCCATATTTTCCCTAAACTTCCTAAAACTCTTCAGAATAAAAATAAGCCTTTAGTCAAAAGCAAAGCAGCACCTGCATTACACAACCGTCATTCCCAGGATTTGCGGTTTAGTTTCAGAACAGTAACAGAATGACAGTGACTTCATTTTAAAGCAAACATGGCAAGAAAGATTTTGTTAACTGCAAGAAGGAAAAAAGAACAATGAATTTGTATCTTCAAAACAGTTTGCAAAAGCAGCAAATACATGCAAAGTTTTAAGTGTTGCCTATCTGAAAAATAACCTGAAGAGTTGTTTGTTTGTTGCAGGTTTCGGGGTTTTGTTTTTTTGTTCGTTTGGTTTAACTCAATACATTACTGTTTTCTAGAGAAACAGAGTATTTTCTGAAGCACAGTGGCACCCCTGAAAGAGGTTTTCACAGGTCTGGCCTGGCTTTACAGTCAGATTAGAACATGTTACAGTTACAGACCTTAACAACTTCACAAGGGCTCCACAAAAAATCAGGTGATCCATTGAGTACATAACACTTTGAGTCCAGCTGTTCAGACAAAATCAGGTTATCAATCAGCTCCTTCCAAAAAGTGCATTTACAACCAGAGACATTGCAATAAGGGATACACAGCACCTACCCATCACAGCAGAGACTATCCTGACTAGAAGCAGCAGCGCTAAATTCCAGGAGTACTTACCAGACCACAGGACAAACCACATCTCAAAGAGCCACAGGTTTAAGACATGGTTCACTGCTGACAAAAATAAAGCAATTCTAAGGAATTAATCAACCGGTTTTACGCAATTCTGCCAGATCCTCCTCCTCCTGAGTTCAGGGAAACAGCAAAAAAATGGTGACCACTTGTTAGACTAGTGTCTTTTGGCTCTGTATGGTCTCCATTAGCACAATATAGGTACCATAACTTTTGTATGGTTTTATTTTTTAAAATTGATTTCAACTGCAATGATTTCTAAAGCAACAAAAATCAAATGATTAACTGAAATACAAATCTCTCCTGAAACTGTGATAACTTCAACTTAGCAAGAAGAATGCAAAGTGAAATTCTTACCTGTGTTTCCTGGCTGAAGCACAGCAGATTTGTCAGTGGGAAGGTGCTGAAGGACCTTTGGTGTGTGTGAGAACAGAACCCGGCAGGGCACAGCCGGCTGTGGGGAGCTGATGCCATCAAGGCGATGGAAAACACAACCCCAGAAAAGTGCCGGATTCGTGCACTTCCATCTCTCCACCCTCTCCTGGAGCAGTGCCTTTCCAAGAGGTTAAACCAGCAGAGGGACTTCTGTGATGCAGACACTCGGTACTGGTGCTAAGCAGGGATCCAGCCCATCATCCAGCCCACAGCCCAGAGCTGCTACAGCAGGTAAAGCTACTCCTTCAGTAACCTTCCACTCAAAGGGAAGGGAGAAGTGCTAAGGTCAGCCTCACACTCTGAACATGCTACGTCCTGTTTCCACACCAGAAACTGCACAGAATATCCATCATCTAAATGGGATGCCTGCTCATTCACATCCATGGGAACAGGATTTGGACCCCAGTTCAGTATTCAGCAAATGCATAATGATCACCAAAACAAAAACCCCAAAAGCCCTGAAATAAACTTGCTATAGCTACAGGTCCAAGTGGGAGATCAGAAACAACCAGGCTATGAAGGCCAAAAAAGGATGTACTTTTAAAATGTTTCCTACTACATACAAGAACAAATGCAGGATGTGATGTTTGCTTAGTTTTATTAATTTATTTTTGCAGGAATCTGCAACTTGGAGTATGCACTTTCTGGAGGTACCATGCATGCATAGCCTCTGAATGCTTTTATACAATTTCATCTCTTAGTAATAAGTTCATTCACAGCATACACAAATCTAGAATGTAGACACCATATATACAGGATTAAACAAGATCGTGTCTTCTTTTTTTAATGAAAAAATTTAACAGGGTTTCACACAGCAGGAAGTATGGATTAGATACACTGGTGCCACCATAAATAAATAAGTTTCAAGAACACAGTTTTTTAAAATTGGTTTCAAAGATACTGGAAATCCAGGATTATAATATTGCATGAACTCCATTGATTTCTGATTATTCCAAGAAAAATATTTGAATTTATGGACATAAACAGCAATGAAAGCCCCAACTGAAAAAATGTGGCAAAACTCAGTCATGTCTGGGTTTATGTAAAATTGACACTTTGAAACGAAAACAAATGCAGCTGCACACAGAGACAGTACTGACTGTGAGATGTGATATCTGTGCGTGTCTTCCTTCCTTGTGGGATTTGGAGTCACTGCAGTATAGAGCACATCAATTCTGTGGTACCAAATTGGCTGTTGAATTGTTTATGTCCAACCATTCACTTCTCATCAGGATAGTCATGTTCACATTCTAGGGTACATCACTGGATTTTAAAAGAAGAACCATAATCCTGATGACAAGCTTGTTTTTAACATATTTAATATTCTCACATTCTTTTTTAAAACATTCTTTATTGGTTTTATTTTGTCCCCATTTCAACTCAAGTATTTCTATTTCCGTTTCAAGGGATTTTACAATCAATATTAAATGTAAAAGTATTTAGAAACTGAAAAAGTATTAAAGTATTTAGAAACTGAAGTGAGAAATGTATAGCTGGGAGAGATAAAGTTACTGAGCAAAAGTTGTTTTTCTTTTTTAAAAAAAAAATGTGATTCAGTAGCATATCATAATCAGAAAGTACTGAGACCAGCTCTTTTAAGAATTATTACACCTTTTCACCACACCTCCCATTTTTCAAGGGAAACACACACATACCACAGACACACAGATACACAATTCAATCTGATCTAAGACTACATTTTACAAAGTACTTCCTTTTGCTTGACTTCCCACCCCTTTCCTCTTCACCCACGCAAGACTAATAATTACATCAAATTAAAAGTAGATCCAAAGTTCAGGATTTCTTTTGGTTTACTATGTTCTGAATAATTTTTCCACAAGCCCCACTCTAAATAAACTTTTAAAGAACTACAGTAGTATCCTATAATTATAAGGAAATTCCTCTTAATAGCACAGGAAATATAAAATAAGCTTTATAAAATTTCAATCAACAGTGAGATCATTTTCAATAACTGAATGTCCAAGTCAGTTACAAACTCTACCCATCTAGTAGCATGATTGAGGGAAAGCTCAGTCAATAAGGAAAAAAGAAAACACAAGTAGTGCATTAACTCAACACAACAGCATCAGCATCCCAACATTCTCACACACACACACACACACACACATACACGTTTTATACAATACAGTGCATTTTGTATGCCAGCTGACATTAGGGTTTTATGTGCATTCAATAAATATTCCATAATCCAATCTTTTTGGTATAATCTACAATTCAGTTGGGGTCTGAATGGCATCACCTGCTTTCAGAAGGAAAATGGATCTTCCAATATTCAAAATACAATTACAGTCTAACAAACTAGAAATATTCAAGCACCATGTCAAGTCTTCACTATTAACGTTTTTTACAAATAAAAGAATACAACAGAAGGTGTGGTGGTTTTCTTTGTTTGTTTGTACAAGCAACAAATGAGAGTAATTGAAAAAAAGTAAAATCATTGGTACAAAGGACTTATTTTTCAATTTAATGGTGCTAACTCACTCTTCCAATAAGTACCTTGCTGTGGTGGCAGCCTTCTTTCTCTTCCCCTGGTGAAGCTGGGACTAAGATTTGCAAGTCTCCGTGTATGGTTATTGCAGTTCAGGGCATTTTTGGACTGAATGCATATTTGCACCTCCTCCTTCAAATAATCACATCTTCAAAACTTCAAAACATAACTTCAAAATATAGTAGCATCTATTCTTTCTGAAAATGGCACAATGTATTTTTGCATGACAGCCCTACTCTCATTTGCTGTCACTTCAGTTGCTATCTTTTTGTAATTCCAGCAAAAACAAATGCTTCTAGAACTTCACCAGAAGTATAAAGGAACAGAAAATTAAAATAATACAATGACAAAGGCATCAGGATAGAAAAGCCATGAAGTTACTGGTATTATTTGGAGTCATTCATTATACAGCTGATAAGAGGAATGCTTCTGCTCATCTGCTTTCTAGTCCTCAGTTTTGTCAAACTGTCCACTGAAATGCACAAAATTAGTATCTGCCTTTCAATTACAGCTGACAGTAATTGACAGTAACTTGCTTACCCCCTTCCAAATATGATGAGCTCCCCCCACAGAAATGTGTATCACTAGGAAGGGTGGAAAACTATCTCTGATGCCTTTGACTTTGTTTTGCTCATCAGTGGTACACACCGATTGCTGGAGATCTAGCTTATTTAAAAATTATCCTGAAGATTTAGTTAGTGCAAGAACATATTGAAAAATGCCAGATAAAATATTGGTTCCTCATCTAAGATCAACAGTTCAGGTCTTACTGTTGTCTTTATAAAATTGTGAGGACAGAAGACACCAGATTGAGCAACGCAGTCAAGATGAGTTTATATCCACCCACCCCTTGCAAATGCTGCTTTATTTTAAATAAGGATTCAGACATGATTGTTCTACCACAGCTTAGCATGTTATCACACATCAAGAGAACTGTGGTAATTGACAATATGGATGTGGCTGCCATTAGCTAAGAACAGCTTAAAATGAAGCAGTTTAAAACTCTCATGGTAAAGTTGATAGCAAATTTTGCTTTACCAAGTCAATTACCATAATTCAGCTGAAGTGCTTGGCTGCATCTCTGAATTGTGATGAAGTTATACCATGAAACTCAAATGCACTGTACCAGCCTCTGACCAGGACACAGAACACCATACTCAGTCACACAGTTGTGTCACAGAATCATTCAGCTGCCCAAACCCAAGTTCGATCACAAAGTATCGACTGCTTTATTCCAGCAGCCTGAAGCATTCAGACAGATTGAACATCACCCTTAGAATACAGTGTATCATAGGCAGATAAGTACCAGCAGGATTTTCAATTGCAAGTCTTGTGTTCTTTAACCTATGACAAATATTTCCTGATCAAAATAGAAAGAATGCTGTGTGTAATTCTTCAAGATCTGGCATCTGCTATTTTGTACAGGCTGGTTTATTTATAATGTGCAAATAAACCTTTACTGAAGAGCTGATTAATTATCTTTCAGCTAACTTTGATCTGGGGCACAAAGTACCTTCTGTGCTGTAAACACCATGAATTCTTCACAAATTGGAAGCTGAGAAGGCCTAAGGAACTGGGTACAAACTCTTCTCAAACACAACCATGGCTGAGCCCAAGTCTTCCAAATGGAATTTGGAGTAGCCTGTGTTTGGCATATGTCACTGTGCTGCTGCAGAGCACAGGCTCAGATGGTTGTATAGAAAAGCATCCTTTGAGCTTGGAAACACGACGGCCCAATGAAAGCATGCAGCAGGATTTTCATCCGCAACGTGGTAGAATTCATTCTTGGTTTATTACCAGTGTTGAC